CCTTACAGAGTCCTTTGTAGGTTTCTCCATCGGTCGGAGGAAAGAACAGAGGCCAACCAGAGAATATTGAGAAGCAAAGCAGCTAGTAAGCCTGATCTTTATTGATCTGTTGCAACAGGGTCCTCACTCACCACACGCAGGAGGGAGCAGGAACCCAGAACAAAGGTGTGTCTGCCCTTATATAGACATTTTAAATTGCCTGCCCTGGAGTCCAAGACCACCTCCCAGAAACATCATACCTACATCACAGAAAGGGTGGTCTACAACAGAAATCTGAGTGTGTTGTTTACCTCCTGTCTGGCAGGTTACCTCTTAATGCTCACTTGATTGGAAACCCTGGAGAGCCTGGCCAGTCTTTTGTAATGACAAATACTTAGTTCCTGAGCCAGGTCACAGGCTCACCCTTTTCATACACAGACATACCCTTAAGACAGGATTTGTGAAGGAAAAGACAATGGGGAGGCTTTTCCATTTTCCTTGACCTTGCAGAGAAATCATTTGATCAGTTTGGGAGTCAAAATGGTTTCAGGGCTGTTTTCCTGTGCTGCTTCAGACATGTGGTTTATATATTTATGTACGTGTTTGCTTGGTACATTTATGAACATTTATTATATATATAAGACCTTCAGTTTTTTATTTCACTGCCAAGATATGAACCTGCCTTATACAAACAGTGAATCTTAACTGCATTTATGCCAGTGATGGGGAGCCTGGTACCCTCAGGTGAAGCTCAGCTACTCCTCGCCTCATCCCTGGCCAATGGCCATGCTGGCTGCGGATGATGGGAGTTGAAGTCCAACAGTGGAGTCTGCTGGGAGGGCCATAGGCCCCCCATATCTCCCTCTAGCCAAACTCTCTATCCCCTGGCAGCCTGTGTTGTCGGTTTTCTGGGAGAACTTCCTATGCAAATTAGACCCATTTTTTGGATGCATTGAGTAAAGGAGGCCGAAAGCTACGAAACGGCCAAGCTTGCGTAATACCTGTTTGCAGCTGGCACCCGTTCACTGCAATTAACGGAAGAACTTACGAAACGGGAAATTTTCCACGGGAAAACAAAGCGCTGGAAAATTTCCTGCCCCACTTCTCAGCTGACAGAAACGCTGAGAGGCTTTGGACGTTAGATGCTGGGAAGATCTTCTGCGCTCAAAGCTGTCCTTCTGAGCACCCACAGGTGACCTGTTTATTCAGCATTCATCTTGATTTGCACACAACAAACGGATGCAGAGGTGAAACTATGTCTGATCTTTCTTGAGCGTTTGTTCTGATCCAAGCGTTGATCCTGATTTGCTTGTGCAGCGTTTACATGGGATCAGAGAACTGTAGAGTTGGAAAGGGACCCCCAGAGTCATCTAGTTTGACCCCCTGCCATGCAGGAATCACGGCTACGGAATCCCTGGTGGCCAAACAACTTCTGCTTGTAATCCTCTCAGGAAGGAGAGCCCAGAACCTCCCGAGAGAATCCGTTCCCCTGCTGAACAGTTCTGACTGCCAGAAAGTGCTTCCTGATGTTTCTGGCTCACACTTGAATCCCCCTTGAAAATACAGTCTGGGAGGCACGCTCTGTTCCTCTTACTCTCTCATACAAACATACAAACGCACACCCACTTCAACCATTAAGCTACTGAGCCTCACCTTAAGGCAAGCGACAGGGCGATGTTGCTAGGCATTTCCTGGTTAGTAGCAGCGGTTGTTGTTTTTATTACGGTTCGGATGAGTGGCCTTCGATTTATGCCAGCTGCCTTCGGAAAAATAAGGGGGGCTGGATATCTTAAAAATGAGGAGGGGCTCTTCCCCACCCTCATGGCAGCTGTGAAAATGGGAAGAGGGTACCCACGATGTGATAAAGGGGAGGAGAAGTCGAGCTGCAATCTGAGAGCACGGCTCGGGGTCGCCCGACTCGAGGCAGAACAGGCTTCGGCTGTTTATCTGCCCAAATCCTCCCTCACTGCAGGGTTGGGGTGGCAGCGGCAGCGGAAGACGTTGGATTTGGCATAAGGGAGGGATTTGCAGTGGTGAGGGTAAATATAAGAGCCTAAGAACATTAGGAAAGACCCCATGGATCAGACCAAAGTCCCGCTCTGCAGCCACTAATGCCCCATAACTATTGGGATGGGGTTTGTGTGGAAAGACGTCTATCCATTGTGAGGTCATTACAGTAATACCTCGGGCTACAGATGCTTCAGGTTGCGTTTTTTGGGGTTACGGACCACCGAAACCCAGAAGTACCGGAACGGGTTACTTCTGGGTTTCGGCAGTCGCGCATGCACAGAAGCGCTAAATCGCGCTTTGCACATGTGCAGAAGCCCCCAGTTGCGACCTGCATGTGCGCAGACGCGCCGCTACAGGTTGCGGACGCTGCGGGTTGCGAACCTGCATCCCGCATGGATCACGTTCGCAACCCGAGCGTCCACTGTACTTTCTTCAGTAGGGCCACTGAATAATATTATTATTATTGTTATTATTATTATTATTATTATTATTATTATTATTATATCTATTTATAGATATAAATAGATATATCTATGTGCCTTTTCCCCACAGGCTGCTCACACAGACTAAAACACTATTTAAAGACAAAAAGGTAATAAAATAATTAGTAATAGTAATAATAATAATAATAATAATAATAATTATTATTTTATAACTTATACCCCACCCATCTGTCCGGGTTGCCCAGCTAAAAAGTAATTAAACTACAATAGAATTGAAATGATATTTTTTTAAAAACCCACACCACTTTTGGAATATAGATAATAAAAGCAGCACAGCACTTCCTCATCAATAACATCTGGCAATAGTTCATCTCTCGTCCGTGACCCCTCCAAAGAATTTGAGGATCAGGTGAAGTCCTGGTGCAGGGTGGGCTTTGGGTGCCAGCAGCTGGCATTCCTGATGGCAGGAGGGTCTTCCTGGAGGATAATCTTCCTCATGGCTGAACCTGAGGGATGGGAGATACACTGGATTCACCTTGGAGCTCCTGCCAGACTCTCCGGAATTTATGGGAGCCTGGAGGCTGTGTGTTGTGCGATTCCCTTTTCTTCTTCAACTTCTTCCTCTGAGGCTGTCAGCGTGACTTTCCAAGGAAGCCAACCACCCGGACTGGTGCGTCTCCCTGGTGAATGGGAGCCTGTCACTGAAACTCTGACGCCACTGCTAATGAGTGAATGGTCACCTTCCTCTCTGCATGCCAGGATGGGTGAAGTCATGGTCATGTGACTGGCTGGCCAATTGGGAGAGAGGCAGCCTGGCTGGGAGAGAGGGAGGCAGAGAGAGAGAGAGAGAGCAAAACTCCTGGCCAGATGTTGGCGATGGGCAACCAGCCACCTGAGCCTTAAGGCATCCCTCCGGAAGAGATGCAGGAGGTGAGTACCGACTCCAGGAGCCGCCCCTGATGTCCCCGCTCCCGGCCCTGGGGGATGTGGGAGGCTGGCAGCGGTGCCCGGGAGTTGCTGGAAGTGCGATTTCAAAGCAGCTGGGGCAGGGAACTTTTGTTTTTCAAGCTCTCCAGTGGGCCCCAGGCCGCTTGCGATGAGGTTGAAACCCCTAAGGCGACTAAATGCAGACCCTGAGACTTCACTGCCAGGGCCCAGAAGGCTGCAAAGCCAAATGCCTGCCTTCAGGGAGGGCAGGACTGAGAACAGTCCACTGGGGCTTTTGTTCCTTAGTGGGAACTGGGTTGTCTTTTTCTAGGTCAATAAGATCTATATTGCATGTGTGTATTTGTTCATTAGCGCAGCGAGCAAAAGGGAGGCGTTAAAGCAACGTTTCCTTTGTTTTTGCTAATCACTTGTTGTAATAACTAGGTGGTTTTAGTGACTGGCTGCATGCTTCCAGGGTCTGGAGCGGGCTTGTCTGAAGTGCAGTTTTAAAAAATCTTGCGTGTGTGTTTGTGTAACAGGAAACATGCGTTTTCAGTTTGTGTGAGTGATACTTCTGTGGAAACGTGATTTATCGCTTATTTGACCCGGTTGGCCTTTTCCTTCTTTCTGTGGAATGATGCTGAAAACGGTCCCTTGGTGTGTAATGCATTCCTTACGCTTCAGCATCAGAAATTGCGTGCGCCCGGGGTTCCCTCGTGGCACATGTGACTGACGGGTGTTTGTTTGCACTGAGAAGGGATGAGGATTAGCAGCTACAAACTTCTCAGCTTCTGTTTCAAAGGTTACTTGCTCCATAGACTTGCTGTGCGCTTTAAGGACTGTGTCTCCCCTTTCTCTCCCCCTGCCCCCCCCGGCCAAGTGTGTCATCATCATTATTAGTATCGTCATTATATTATTATTATTATTATTATTATTATTATTATTTATTATTATTTATACCCCGCCCATCTGGCAGGGTTTCCCCAGCCACTCTGGGCGGCTTCCAACAAAACACTAAAATACAATAACCTATTAAACATTAAAAGCTTCCCTTTAGATGTCTTCTAAAAGTTTGGTAGTTCTTGTTCTCTTTGACATCTGGTGGGAGGGAGTTCCATAGGGCAGGTGCCACCACCAAGAAGGCCCTCTGCCTGGTCCCCTGTAACCTCGCTTCTCACAGTGAGGGAACTGCCAGAAGGCCCCTCAGCACTGGACCTCAGTGTCCGGGCTGAGCGATGGGGGTGGAGACGCTCCTTCAGGTATACTGGACCGAGGCCGTTTAGGGCTTGAAAGGTCAGCACCAACGCTTTGAATTGTGCTCGGAAACGTACATTATTAAATGTATTACATGCCATTCACTGGCAGGTCAAAATACGGGAGCAATAGAACTGGCTTACCTTACAGGATTGTTGTAAGAATTAATGAAATTATGTCTCTGTGAACTTATTTAGTTTTATCTATGATGAAATGACCTCTCATCAACAAGGATTCCCTGGTTTGCTTTCAAAACGAGAAGTGAAACAGAATGGTTTTTTTAAAGAAATATATTCAAATGCAGCACTTTGAACACTTGAAATGTGTTCTGTAAATACTAAGTGTTACAACATGGTTCCTAGGTCAATTTGTCAATGAGAAAGCTGGGGAAAATCTGTAGCTCAGTGGAAGAGATGCCTTTTTGCGAGGAGAAGGTCCCAGGTTTAATCCCTGGGATCTCCAGGTCAGGCTAGGAATGTCCCCTAAGTCTGAAACCTTGGAGAGCCTCTGCCGGTCAGTGTAGACAATACTGAGCTACATGGAACAATGGTCTGGCCATAGCTGTCAACTTACAGATTTGAAAATAAGGGACCAGCAGCCAGAATAAGGGATTTTAGTCAACCAGTTAAAAGGGACCAGATAATTTTGGAGAGCAGCGCCGGTTTTTAGCCCTTTGTTTCCAGAGGTTGCTGCTCAAGACACCAGCCGATGAAACACTGCAGTTAAATAACTACAAGCAGCAACCACTTTTCGCGCAAAACAAAGTCCACGCTACGAAGATGCTGCTGCAGTTCTGTATCTTTTCTCTCGTGCTCCATCTGCAGCTCTCAACTCCATCAGGCGGGACGGGAGGCAGGGAGGGGGGAATAGCGCCCAAAGTAAACCCGCAGATCAGACCATCTATGCTAGTCTACCACTACAAATCTATGGGAGAAGCGCTTGCGGTCCTTCCCTTGTAGCCCTTGGAACACCTGCCCGCGCCTCCGCCTCCTCCTCTTCCTCCTCTCTCTGAACTGCTTTCTCTGGTTGCCCTCGCTCTCCTCTCAAGGCTCCTCAGCAATTCACAGGCCATGCCAGGCTGCCCATCTCATCCAGGTCCTTCGGCGGCACAGCTGCAGTATGGCCTAGTGGGAGTGGGAGCGGCGGCGACGGGCAGAGTGGAGGCCCCAGGCAGAGACGCTCAGTTCGGCAGCCGCGAGGAGGATGGTGGCGGAAGGGCCCGAGGCTCCCGCCAGTCCGGCGGGGAGGGGCTCCCGGGGGCCAAGGCTGGTGAGAGGAGGCCGGAGGGGGGTGGGCCGGGCAGCCAAGCAACACAGTTGGAGCCTCCCTCCTCCCTGGCCGGCAGGGAGGGAGGGAGAGGAGCTGCTTCCTGAAACCTGGGAAATTTAAGGGACATCCATCAATAAGGGACAGCAGCGGGACACGGCGCTGGGATAAGGGACTGTTCCTCCAAATAAGGGACGCTTGACAGCTATGGGTCTGGCTCTGTTTAAGGCAGGTTCCTGTGTTCCTGGAGAGCCTCTGCCAGTCCGTGTAGACATTACCGAGGGACCAATGGTCTGACTCGGAGAAAGATTGCATTATGCAGGCCTGCTCAGCTGTTGCTCCCATGTCAGGAGCCTCATGCCCTGCCATGTGTGTGATGACAGCAGAGAGTTTTACGGTTTGTTTTGCAATGGGTACAAATGAGCTGCCCTGCCCTGTGAGGCCACAGTGCGAATACACACTTGAAGCAGATCTCCACGTGCTTGTCAGGTGTGGTAATTACTCACATGAGAAGCAGCTACTGGATCAGGCCAATGGCCCATCAAGTCCAGCATCCTGTCCTCACAGGGGCAGAACCAGATGCCTCTTGTGCGAAACCAGAAAGCATATAAAGTGGTACCTCGGTTTTCAAACGTCTCCGTTGATGAACATTTCGGTTTCTGAACGCCGTACACCCGGAAGTAAATGCTTCGGTTTTCGAACGTGCCTCGGAAGTCGAACATGCCCCACAGCTTCCTCTGAGTGCAGGATCCTGAGGCTATTGAGTTTTCAGTTTTCGAACATTTCAGAACTCGAACGGTCTTCCGGAACAAATTACGTTAGAAAACCGAGGTACCACTGTACAGTAAAAAGGTAAAGGGACCCCTGACCATTAGGTCCAGTCGTGGCTGACTCTTGGGTTGCGGCGCTCATCTCGCTTTACTGGCCGAGGGAGCCGGCGTACAGCTTCCGAGTCATGTGGCCAGCTTGACTAAGCCGCTTCTGGCGAAACAGAGCAGCACACGGAAACGCCGTTTACCTTCCCGCCAGGGCGATACCTATTTATCTACTTGCACTTTGATTTGCTTTCGAACTGCTAGGTTGGCAGGAGCAGGGACCGAGCAACAGGAGCTCACCCCGTTGCGAGGATTCGAACAGCCGACCTTCTGATCGGCAAGACCTAGTCTCTGTGGTTTAACCCACAGCGCCACCTGCGTCCCTCCACTGTACAGTAGTTACATAACAATTTCTGACATGGTCATTTCACACCTGTGAAGCAAACCTTTTAATTATTTTTTTCGTATTTCCATTTCCATGTATGTATGTTTAACACACACATATGCCACTTCATACTTCAACAGAAATCCCTAGGCCGCTTACAGAAAGAGCTCAAGAAATACAATGCAAATTCTACATTCCAATCGCTGGTACTCACAATTCCTCACTTTAAGTATATGGAAGGGCCTTTTTTAAGTGGGATTTTTGTCATGTCTGCAGCTGCTCTGAATGATAGAATCATAGTGGAGCTGGAAGGGACCCTGGGGGTCATCCAGCCCAACCCCCTGCATTGCAGGATCTCAACATGCAGTCCCCCATCCAATTCGAAACTATACCGGACCCTGCTTAGCTTCGCAAATGTGCTAACCGTTTTATGTCTCCTGGATGTGCATTTCCCTGCCCACTGCCAGGGGCAGACAGTAGTGTGGCGTGCAGGGCAGGGCTGGGAAAATAGGAAGCAGAGGAAACTGCCTTATATATGGAGTCAGACCATTGGTCCACCCAGCCCAGTGTTGCCAACATGGACTGGCAGCCGCTCTGCAGGTTTTTGAACTGGGTCTCCCTTATCCTCATCTAGAGATGCCAGGAATTGGACCTGGGACCTTCTGCATGCAAAGCACATGCTCTTCCACTGAGCCACGGCCTCTGCAATGCGCAGTGACATCAGGGTGCAGAGTTATGTTGCCTTCTGCATCATGGAACAGGCTGTGGGGGGAAGTCAACTCATGACCTGCTTTCTTCATCCTGCTTACAAGGTCTAGTAGCTCTGGTGAGGTCACTGGCCTGGCTTGTCCTGACATTGCACAGGTCTCGGTTTCCCACTTCTGTTTGAGAAGGAGAATCTGAACTGGGGAGCCTCTGTTGAGGTCTGGGGAGGAAGGGCTGCCGACCAGAGACCAAGCATTTGTTGTGGTTTAGTCAGTGGAGCCAGTGAGAGATTTTACTTTCTTGGGCTCCATGATCACTGCTGATGGTGACAGCAGTCACAAAATTAAAAGACGCCTGCTTCTTGGGAGAAAAGCAATGACAAACCTAGACAGCATCTTAAAAAGCAGAGACATCACCTTGCCAACAAAGGTCCGTATAGTTAAAGCTCTGGTTTTCCCAGTAGTGATGTATGGAAGTGAGAGCTGGACCATCAAGAAGGCTGATCGCCGAAGAATGGATGCTTTTGAATTATGGTGCTGGAGGAGACGCTTGAGAGTCCCATGGGCTGCAAGAAGATCAAACCTCTCCATTCTGAAGGAAATCAGCCCTGAGTGCTGACTGGAAGGACAGATCGTGAAGCTGAGACTCCAAGACTTTGGCCACCTCATGAGAAGAGAAGACTCCCTGGAAAAGACCCTGATGTTGGGAAAGATGGAGGGCACAAGGAGAAGGGGACGACAAAGGACGAGATGGTGGGACAGTGTTCTCGAAGCTACCAGCATGAGTTTGACCAAACTGCGGGAGGCAGTGGAAGACAGGAGGGCCTGGCATGCTCTGGTCCAGGGGGTCACGAAGAGGCGGACACGACTAAACAACAACAACAAGTCGGTCTCCGGAGGATGGGAAGTTGAATCAGTGCCTTGCATAGATCAGAATGGCAGAACAGGGACACGGAAGCAGGAGCCATGGAAGAAGGAGGAAGATTAGGACTGTAGGCCAAGATGGCAGGAAACCCGTGGCTGGACCGCTGGCCATGATCGCTGGGATTGGAGTCCAACAACATATGGAAAGCCAAAGGTGACTTATCCCAGCCTTAGATGAAACACAGCTTTAGCCCCTTACGATTCCGTGATTCTTTGACTTCCAGTTTATTTATTCCAGGCTGAGAAACCTCAAGTCCAGCAGAGCAATTTCATGAATGCTTTCCCCTCCCACACAAAGATGTTCTGAGGACGGAGCAGACATTTCTCATTTATTTATTCATCCACGGCACTTGTCTGTTCCTCGTTCCTCTGGGGCTTGGGAGCCTGGAGCTGGCAGCTTTCCCCGTCCCTCCATCCCTCACTTCCGCCTGCCAGGGCCTGGCGTGCTTCCTGGATTCCGGTTCTGCCGGTGCGGTGACAGGCGTGGGTGGGCAGGGCCCCTTTCGCGCGTCTGCTGCCTCAGGGCTCTTCCTGCCTCAGCCCATGAGCTGCGCTCTCTGGTATGATGGAGGAGAGCAGGCCTGTCATCTGGGACCTTTGAGGAGGCCCTGCATGGAATTGGATGCGCACACAGGTGTTCCCCGCCAGCACCTGGAGTCAGTGAAGCTTTGCCGGCACGAGCAGATACCGCACCGCATTCGTCAAGGACGGACAAATCTCTTACTGCTCTTCCAAGCGGGGAAAGAGAACTGTAGGAGCCGAGGGGGTGAAGAAAGATCTCATTGTCTGGGACTTTTTAATGCAGAGAAAAGTCGACATGATAGAAGCATATAACACTATGAATGGCATGGATAGGAAAAAAAACCATTTTTCTTTCACTGTCGTAGCAGTACAGCGGTACCTCGGGTTAAAGACGCTTCAGGTTACAGACTCCACTAACCCAGAAATTGTACCCCGGGTTAAGAACTTTGCTTCAGGATGAGAACAGAAATCGCACGGCGGCGGCAGTGGGAGGCCCCATTAGCTAAAGTGGTACCTCCAGTTAAGAACAGTTTGAGGTTACGAACGGACCTCCAGAACAAATTAAGTTCTTAACCTGAGGTTGTTGTTGTTGTTTAGACGTTTAGTCGTGTCCGACTCTTCATGACCCCATGGACCAGAGCACGCCAGGCACTCCTGTCTTCCACGGCCTCCCTCATGTTGGTCGCTTCGAGAACACTGTCCCACCATCTCGTCCTCTGTCGTCCCCTTCTCCTTGTGCCCTCCATCTTTCCCAACATCAGGATCTTTTCCAGGGAGTCTTCTCTTCTCATGAGGTGGCCAAAGTCTTGGAGCCTCAGCTTCAGGATCTGTCCTTCCAGTGAGTACTCAGGGCTGATTTCCTTCAGAATGGATCGGTTTGATCTTCTTGCAGTCCATGGGACTCTCAAGAGTCTCCTCCAGCACCATAATCCAAAAGCATCCATTCTTCGGCAATCAGCCTTCTTTATGGTCCAGCTCTCACTTCCATACATCACTACTGGGAAAACCATGGCTTTAACTATATGGGCCTTTGTTGGCAAGGTGAGCATGAAGCTGGAAGGTTGGGGACAGATAAAAAGAAAAGGACTTATTCACGCAGTGCCTTGGAAAACTCCCTTTTGTAGGAGTTTGTGGCGGCCACGAACCTGGATGACTTTAAAAGAGGAGTAGACAAATTCATGGAGGAGAGGCGTTGTTGATGGCTGATAGTCGCAGTGGCGATGCCTTGTCTCCCTATTCAGAGGTATTAATTCTTCTGAATACAAGTTGCTGGAAACCAAACAAGGGGAGAGTGCCTTTGTGTTCGAATCCTGCTTGCGGGTTTCCCGTTGAGGGCATGTGCTTGGCCACTGTGAGAGCAGGATGGTGGCCTAGGTGGGACACTGGCCTGATCCAGCAGAAGCTCTTCCTCTGTTCTTAAGAGTCACTCCACTGATGTTTTTTCAGATGGCATTATTATGGACTGCGCTGCCTGAGGCTTATGGGAGCCACATGTTCCTCTCTTGGACTTGGGCCGCAGTGTTCCTTGGGACCGGTTCCTGCTTTTCCAGCTAGTGCACACAGTGTGCAAAGTCAGCCTCTCTTATCATAAAAGCATCTGCTGGATCAGGCCCGTGCCCAATCTGGTCCAGCATCCTGTTCTCATGGAAGATGCCCTCAAGCAGGACGTGAGTGTCCCAGACCATGCATGGTATGTTGGAAGTGGACAGAGAGGTGTTTTTTCCTCCCTCTCTCATAATACTAGAACCCAGTGGAGGTCATTGAATGGGAGATTCAAGACAGAAGAAGACTCTTCATAGAATCATAGAATTGTAGAGTTGGAAGGGACCTCCAGGGGTCATCTGGTCCACCCCCCTGCAATGCAGGAATCTCAGCTAAAGCATCCATGACAGATGGCCACCCAACCTCTGCTTAAAAACCTCCAACCACCTCCCAAGGGAGACCGTTCCACTGTCAAACGGCTCTTGCGCTCAGAAGGTACTTCCAGATGTTTTGTCGGAATCTCCTTTCTTGCTAACTTGAAGCCATGGGTTCGAGTCCTACCCTTGATGCAGGAGAAAGGCTTGCTCCATCTTCCATGTAGCAGCCCTTGAGATATTTGAAGATGGCGCTGTGGGTTAAACCACAGAGCCTAGGACTTGCCAATCAGAAGGTCGGCGGTTCAAATCCCCATGATGGGGTGAGCTCCCGTTGCTCGGTCCCTGCTCCTGCCAACCTAGCAGTTCAAAAGCACGTCAAAGTGCAAGTAGATAAACAGGTACCGCTCCGGTGGGAAGGTAAACGACATTTCCGTGCGCTGCTCTGGTTCACCAGAAGCGGCTTAGTCATTCTGGCCACATGACCTGGAAGCTGTATGCCGGCTCCCTCGGCCAGTAAAGCGAGATGAGCGCCACAACCCCAGAGTCGGCCACGACTGGACCTAATGGTCAGGGGTCCCTTTACCTTTTACTCATATCTCATCTCAGTCTCCTCTAGGCTAAACATACCCAGCTTATTCAACCGTTCCTCATACGGCTTGGTTTGCAGGCCCTTGATCATCTTGGCCGCCCTCCTCTGCACACCTTCCAGCTGGTCTTCTACACACACACAAACACACACACACACACACACACACACACACAGAGGAATTTTCTCCCCCAAGAGGCACTGATGGCCACTATTTTCTTGGGCTTTTGCTTAACAGGAGGATAAGGCCATGAATGGGCAAGAGAAGTGGTCCATGCATTCCATCCTCCGTGGAGCCGCTGAGCGTGCCAGGTTGCCAGAGCCTGATCTAGGCAGACGAATCCCCCTTTGTACTCCCCAACCCCCCCCCCCCCTTTGAAGAACGCAGCTGGGCCAGGTGGTGTGAGCCGGAAAAAGCCCCTCTCCCTCTCTGGGTCCTTGCTGATTGGATCCCCAGGGGAAGGGGAGGGGGAGGTGCAGCCACTGCAAGGAGAGAGCACAGCTGCAGGCAGGGGATGTGTGGGGTGGGGGGCTGCTCCTGGTTTCTATTCTGAGCGGCATCGCTGCCCCATCCTTTCTGTGCCACCTTGCTTTCGCATCGGGGCTGGATTTTAAGAGAGCCTTTGCCTGGACCAGTTTCCTCCATCACCTCCCTCCTTGCCCAGTTGCCTGGAAAAAGGACGACTGAATCTTCCGAATCTTTGCCAGGAATCCTCCCTCCCTCCCACAATCCGCCACATAGCATTAAGCTGGGAGCATCACAGCATCCTCTCTGAGAGGCCTCCCTCCATCTCTCTCTCTCTCGCCATGGCGACGGGATGCAGGCGCAGGAGGGAGGGGGTTCGCCAGCGGGATGCCTGAGACCTCCAGGAGAATCCTCCTGCCACCCACCTCTGGGAAGGGCTGACTCACTCCTGACCAGAGGCTAAGATGGCCCCCTGATCCCTCAGCCAGGTGAGGTGGGGCCGGTCTCCTTGCATTCTGGGACTGCGGCACAGCACGCCTCGCTCTCTCGGCCAGGATCTGGCCTCCTGATTTGGCACAGCTCCGCTCAGCCATGGGGGAGAAGTCGGATTACCAGCGGCTGTCGACTGGGGAGGACGAG